ATACTGATCAGGTATTGACTTGTGTACCTTCTGTCAGCTACCATTTTTCCATCTTCCAAACTACACACCATGTGACACTTCTTGGCAATTTATTGGCCAATCCCGGATGACTTCTGGTTCACCAGCAATCTGTGCTCTTCCATAAAAAAAGGAAGCAAACGCAGCCACAATTTCTAACTGATCAGGAATATGGCAGCATGTTTGGCTTGAAGTGGTACATACCAATTTGATTCCACTCACTGAGACATACAAACACCCACAGAGAACACACTTAAACTTCACATTCTGCTTACACTTATTGCATTTTCATTCATGCTAATCATCCACTGATGAAAAAAAAATTAAAGTCAAAAAGTAGAAGAGAGGAAACTATTAGCACTGAACTTATGGTTATATCTAGCAATTTCAACAGTAAAATGATTGTGACCTAGCTGCCAATCTAGTACTGCAATTAAATTTGAGAAATCAATGTATCAAAGAGGAAAGTTTGTACAATCATGTTAGAATCAATAAACAAATTGAGCAGTCTTGATATCACATTCAAATTGTTTTGATGTTTGAAACAGACAAGCTTGATTTAATTATTTTTTGATGATGGCCTTTTTTTTTTCTTTTTTACTTAATTTTGATCCAAGCAAGGCAATAAAATCCACTAAGATGCAAGAAGTTGTTGCTGAGATTGAAAGAAACTGAGAAAACATTGCCGGGGAGAAAGGACACTATAAAGAGAAGGATTCAAGAAGACAGAAGATTGACGTTACATTTAAATTTTAGAGGATTGTAATTGACATGAAAGCAAAAAGCTGGAAGAGAGCTTGATAAGCAAGAAGTGAAAGTGTGTGTGTGTGTGGGAGGGATTAAATCATTTCATCACAAGCAAGGCAATAAAGCCACAAAGATGCAAGGGATTATGGAGAGTGATGGAAATTGATAAAAAGGTGATATGTCCCGGAAAGGGATATATCTGTTCAAAGTAGCAAAGTGGTTTTGGACTACTGTAACTGAGTAGGACAATCTATCAGGTAACCATAATGGACTGGTCCTTGTTGTAGTGGTAGGCAATAGGCGTCCTCTTGTACCTCCACATCAGTCTGTATTTATGGCTGACACCAGCCAATCATATTACTGTGAGGGAGAAACCAAGAGTATGCATATTCATTACATCAAAAGGTTGCTGATGAGAAAGGACAATAAAAAGAAGTGGATTCAAGATAACAGAAGATGACACTTGATGTTGCATTTAAATTTTTGAGGATTGTAGTTGACATGAAAGCAAGAAGCTGAGAGAGAGATGCATAGGCAAAAGAGAAGAAAACCAGGGGTGAAAAAGAAGAAATTATTAGAATAGAACTTGCTAAGAGATATAGCTTCCAATTCATGAAGTCAGGGTGCCAACCAAAGATGAAAGCTCATTAGAACAATAATGGTTTTTATCCAGGAGCTACCAACATTCAAGATCTTATGAATTTTAATACTATGTCTGTTAACATTTTCAAAGTATTTTAGTACCTGTGTATGAAGTTGTTTTTCTGTTGCCAGAACATGAACCAAGAGGGATGGAACAAACATCAGCACTGGAAACAAACAAAATGAAGCCAATAAAATATGGCAGAGGTGACAAAGAATTCTACACAAGAATGGCACAAACGAAGATTGAATATAACCAGGACACAGAAAGTGACGACGAACAAGGGAATCAGAATCATGATATTCCATATAATAGTAATACTGGCAACTCGTGTTCTAACGAAACAGAAAATTTATCTTTTTATATCGAGCTCAGAAACATTGGTAATCTCGCTATGCTCGACACAAATCATTTGCATAAACAAATTTTAGGCACCACTCAGCCCACTACTGCAACCATATTTTTTGCAAGCAGACGTTCTCGGGTTTGCACCGGCCATCCTCTCCTGCATATGCAGCACACCAAGTGTTGTCTTTTCGATCGACAGGGATGGGCAGCCTCATCAAATGTAAGCAGCATTTCATCCTGCCTTTCACTTCTGCTACAGTGTATTAAAATAGCAAAACTGTTCATGTTTTTGATTGTTTGTTAATCAAAATAAATGAAGTAAATTCAATGTAAACAAACAAAAAAAAAAGCCAAGTTTTTCCTTATTGGAGGGTGGAGGTGAATCTAGGTGAAAGGAAAGGTGACACCATAACATGCACCAGATTGTGGTGGGGCACAATTGGATGTTTTATGCAGTTTCAAGAACTGTTCTGACCACACCCATACGCATACCTGCATTTGCATTACGAGAAACAGCCAGAAAATAGTGACATTTCTCTGATTCTTATACAGAGAAAATTATTTAGATTAAAGTACCTCTTGAATGTTTGTGAAAAGGTGAATAAAGTAAAAAGACCTACCACCTCAGCATCGTGCCAGGTACTTTTGAAGTGACTCACTTAATCCAAGAATTTGTTTAAAATAAAAATAAATTAATTGATTAAAATAATAAAAATTTAAGTGGTTACAAGGAAAATAGTACATGGGTACTTAGTCAAAATAGGTGAAATACTATTTGGTACCATTTTAATGCCAAGATACTTTCAGAACCAAACTGATACCACCTACCAGCTATATATCATATACCTTAATGGGTAATCCCTTCAATATGAGCTTATTTGCTTAAAGGGTTGCCTTATATATATATATATATATATATATGCGAAAATATATAGAAAATAGGAAAGAACTGGTTAGGTAGATCCAAAGTTCCTTAGTATTTTAGTTGTTATTTTTAAAAAATAGTGCTCGATACAAATGTAGAGCATAAATATAATTATTTATTTAAAAATACGATTCCAACTCACGACATAAGAGGTCTCATGTTTCAAAACAAGAGCCGAAAACTTCAATATAATTATTTGAATTAAATTGAGTTAGAGAAAGCTCTGTCCCATCTTCAAGCGAAATTTTTTGGGAATAACTTATTTCAGAAATTTACGTGTTTTAATAATTGAAATCAAAATTTCCATGGTAACAGCTAGGTCCAATTGTTTAAATTGAGGCGTGTATTGGGTGTTAATAATAAGTATCAGTATAGAGTTACTTTCATAGATGTCAAGTCAGGGTAAGGTGGGGGTGTCTAAATTTGAAATGGAAGATGTTTTAGCCAGACTAACAAGGAAAGAGAGCCTAGAGAATCTAACACTCACAGGACATGGGGTTTGGGCAGCAAGCACCTACTTAAGTTTGAGTGACTTGATTACAGAACAAGGACAAAGGTGGATATATAGTAAAATGTTGTAAGTCAAATACAAAATCCAAAGAAACTTATACTTACAATCAGAAAAAGATAGCTGAAATATTTTGGACAAATAATCAAGAAAGGCCTAGAGAGTTTAACATTCACAAGACTAAGTGATGGTGATTAACAATTTTTTGAGAATAACAATTTTTTCCAGATACATTTAACCCATATCTGGGGGAGATGGATTCATACTTTTCTCAAGGGTATTTGCACATAAGTGAATGTAACAAACTTGACTGGAATTTGAACTTGGCTCTCCTATTTCCCAATCTGAGCCACTGTCCATTGCACCACCTGCATGTAAACAATGACTAAGCTACTTGAGTTTGAGAGAATGGATGGCAGAACAAGGACAAAGTGAGATGGTAATGAGTCAAAAGTTACTTAGAGCAACAAAAAAGCATGAAGTTGTGGAGAACCATGATCACCTACTTAAGTTTGTGTGAATGGATGGCAGAACAAGGACAAAGAGATGGTAAGAGAAGTTACTTTGACCAATAAGAGAGAGGATGTTGTGTAGAGCCATGATCACCCATGTCTTGAATGGACATTGTATATAAGAGAATATCTACATACATTTCTCTGTTTCTAGGGCACCTCGGCGTGGTGTAATGGTTAGCAAGCTTGTCTCGCTATAACAGTTACAACTGAATAGTGAGTTCGATCCTCACTGGGTGCCCCATACTTTCAGCCCTGTGCCACATCTAAGCTATGCTTAGAAAATCATTTAGAGCACTTTGAGGCAGTGTAATGTTTAGCCAGCTTGTCTTGCTAGAACGATTATGACTGAGTAGTGGGTTTGATCCTCACTGGGTGCCCCATTTTTTCGGCCTTGTGCCACATCTAAGCTATGCTGGGAAAATCTCTACATTGTTCTCTTTCTCTTGTGTATGTGGACAAAGATTCTTGCTTGCTTTAGAAATGAGATGAAAATGAGGTATAAATAAAGTGAAGTCAGTATTCAGGACTTCAAATATAAGTGTATCTGAAATATTCTTAACAATCATTATTTTTATTGAATACCAGCAGTAGAGCCTGGTGTTGCCCGGGGATGTAAGAGTAAGAGATAGATCAAGTATCAACCATCATAAAAACTGAAAAATAAAATTGACAAAGATTATTGTTTAAGGTTGATGGACACGCATGTCTTAATTAGTTTTTTTTTTTTGTTTTTTTTACGAATTGGTCAAACCCAAACTAAAACATTGTTTTCAATCGTTATGAGTTTACCAATTGAATAGAATTTTATTATAAACAATTGTCTTGTAAATAGAATTTTTAAAGCATTCTGAATGTAAACATAAAGCAAAAATTGTGCAAGACAATAAGAAACACTACCTGCCAAAAAAAAAAAAAAAAAAAAAAAAAAAAAAAAAAAAGAAAAAGTGAAGTTTTGCTGAAATCGGTTGAAAAATGTAGGAAATCTGATCCCATATATAAACGAACACACACAAACAACCTGGGTTTTATAATAAGTATAACTCGATATGAGTTGTCACCCTTTCATTCTCGCGATGCCTCTTAATCGTGTTTTCAAATTGATTTCATGCAAAAATAATAGTGTTTTTCCAATTTTTGGTGCTGTCAGAACCACCGCAAGGTAATTTTATGTAGTCCTGTGAAGTTTTGTTGAAATCGGTTGAAAAATGTAGGAAATCCGATCCAATATATAAACGTACAGACACACACGCAACCTGGGTTTTGGCATGATCACAATTAAGAAAAGAGCTTGAAGGCTTGCAACCATATCATGTTAAAAAACTAGTTCCCATATGATTACTGAAGTTAAGCAACTATAAGCCTGGTCAGTACCTAGATGGGGAACCACTTGAGAATACTAGGTGTTGTATGCTTGGGTGTGCAGGTGGTGCAATGGATAATGGCTCAGAATTTTTAATTGGTGAGCTGCTTCATTTCTTGTTGGGTTCATTATATTCATTTATACATAAACCCCTTTGGGAAAGGCATGAATCCACTTCTCTTACCAACTATAGGTTAATTGGAACATCATTATTATCTCAAAAAAAAAAAAAAAAAAATTTGACAATCTAAAAGTATATTCTGGCTTTAAATAACCTGCAAAAGGTTGATAAGTTGTAAAAAAACCCAAAAACAATCAAATCAAAAGATCTTGAAAACTTCAACCAAATTGTGGACAAGAAAATTAGCTTGAAGATGAACAAGCAGCAATTTCTGGTATTAATTCTTCAACTAAAACAAAAAATTCAAAATAATGGATTAATTGTTAGATTAATTTTTTTGATTTATCAACATTTTTCAGGTAATTTAAAGCTAGAAAATATTTATTGCATGATTTTTTTGAGATAATGTTTTACTGATAGAAGTCCTACTAATTAACCCATAGCTGAGGAGAGAAGAAGTGGCTTCATGCCTTTCCCCAAGGGTATTTGCACATAAGGGAATATAATGAACAAGACTAGAATTAGAAACTCGGTTCTCTGATATCCTATTCCAAATGGTTATACATCCAAGCTTACAGCACCCGGTATTCCTAAGTGGGCACTCCCATTGAGGTATTATAAGCCTCAAAATAAAAGAAACGGGCAAGAAAGAAAGAAAAAAAGGGAAATAAGTAAACAAAATTTTTTTTTAAATATACAGAGAAAAGCATCTTCTGCTAAAACTTAACCTGACCTCATTTCAGAAACAGAATCAATTTGAAACTTCAATGTTTATTTAAATGTTGACCTTTTCTGTTAAACTACTAACAAACATGATGCATTTAAATATTAAGAAGTCCTTCACACAAACCTACAACATTTTAAGTACTAGAATTATTTTGCAACGTGCTAATGAGTGTTGAAATCCTCACAGTTTTTAGTATTATTGAAGCTATCACTAACAATTTTGTTGAGATTTACAAACTCAACGTTTCGTTCAGTTTCACAAACCAATCCATGAAATTTAAATAAATTGATTTGTTAGGAAAAATACTTTGACAAAAACCTTACTTCACCATTTAATAATTTCTTTAATTTAGGACTTCAATAAACAATATTCTTTTTAAAATTTCTTTTTTTTCTTTTTTAACAGTGAAGAATTCTTAGGATTTCCAATTCTTGAGCATGCAACATACAACTGGCCATGCATAGATATTCCAAATTTTTGAAGCATTTGGCATTGTGATTTGTTTATAGTTCTCACAAATGCAGGAGTAAACTAAAAACTGGATTCTTGTATGTAAAAACTTAAGATATACAGAAAACAATTTTGCATTTTTCTCAAATAAGTATTTGTTATTTTAATTATTATACTGTTTTTAAAATAGTGGGAGTATTTTGTATGTTAAATAATAAAACTTTTAATTTAAAAAAAAAAAACGAATGAAAATTTATTGTACTAAGCTATTCCCTAATAAAACCAACTGTACTTTGTACCCACTTACCTGTTTGCACTTTTCCCGAAAATTTGATTTCGATCAGTCAATGTATAACTATTTTAGAGGGTATGACAGACAGACTAACAAAAGTTTCAGAATTTTATATATAGATAGATAGAAGTCTCTTTCATTAGAATATGAGTGTCTTTGTCTTTTTGTCAATGTTAGGTTTAAATGTGGGAACAATATACAAGCTAAGTCAAAAATCATCCACACCTTCATCATAACATCTGTCTTATGAATGCAGATAATTTTTGACTTTCCCTCATATTTTCAACACAAAGTTTACTGAAGAAATGTAACTGGTCCTCTGGAAATTTGAATATGCTAAAGTTTTTGAGACTCAAGTTTGAATTTGATTTACACAATCTTACGATAGATATCATGTCAAATATCTAGAAAAAGAAAGGATTAAATATCAATTGTAAGAAGACAATGGCAAGTCCTCACTTGCCTGTTCAAAAGTGTTTACACAGACTTGTGAGTGAGGAATTATTTTCCAGTCTACAACCTCAGATGAATCATTGTGAACCTCTAATTCCAATAGTAAGAAGTAAGTTCCAGCTTCTTTCCAAAAAGTGCTGCTTTGTGCAACAGACTCCCAATCACTACAATCTTGACCTCTTCATGTCTAGGATTAATCATTATCTTTTCTGTATAACCCCAGGAATTTTGCTTATGTTCATACAACACCACACAGTATCCCTCTATATTGAGTGTCTCTTAAGCCTTTTATTTGGTGAAAGTATTAAAAAATGGTTGTCATCAAAAGGAACAGCCCAAGATATGGAATATAAATTGGAGACACCAAAATCAAGCAAGTACAACAATTTAAATTTCTAGGAAGTGTTTTAATAGAGCCCAGAAAATGGTGATACTGAAATCCAAAGGCATATTGGAATAGTAAAAGATATCTTCCAAAGTTTAAACACAGTATTTAGAAACAGGAAAACTTCATTAGAAACAAAGAAAAAGTACTGAATTGTTATGTCATATTGGTCCTCTTATATGGCAGTGAATGCTGGACAATCTCTTTAAAGATGGAGGAGAAATTTAAGGTAACAAAAATATGGTTCTACAGAAAACTATGGACTAAAATGTTAGCAATAACAAAGTTTTTAGGAAAGTGGAAGCAAAAAGGACACTTACACTTAGAATCAGAAAGGGATAATTGAAATTTCTAGGGTACATAATGAAGAAAGAGGGTTTGGAGAATTTGACACTCACAGGACATATTGAAGGCAAGAGGGAAAACACTGAGTAACATACCTAACAGGCTTGTGTAAATCAATGGCAGAACAGGGATTAGAAGAGATATTATTTATAATTGATGGTTAGTCCTTTCTTCAAACCTTCCTTTGCTACCTTGTCTAAGAGTTTTTATAGTTCTTTTTATGTCTGCTATAAAAAAAAATCTAGACCCATCTCTAGCCTATAAAATCTTTGTTCTCCTTCAGATCCTAAATCAGGCAACTAGAAAGTACTTATGATCAAATGACCTTGAGTTTCATATTAGTCTTGCTATCTCATAAACAAATGAGAAACACCTACTTCTGTGAAGAGCAATTAATGCCTACCTTTTGCCAGTACACAAAGAGGGGTGGGTGACTTCAGAAAAGTTCTTAGCTCAATCCCCCCGCCAAAAAAAAAAAAAATCTGATGAATGATCAGACAGAAGAATTCTTTTTAGAATTCCTTCTTCATCAGCCCAAGAAAATTTCAGCAGCAACACTTAACCTTTAGCCCTCTGCATTATTAATACTGCTTCCCTTTCAATTGCATTCTTATTTAAGGCCTCTCAAATGCAGTATACTTATTGTTAATTTCACTCAAAGTTGTTTTCTGTTGCCATAGCAGGATATGACAACACACCTATGAAATTCAAACACATTATAGTTCAGGGATCAGAGTCACCTTCAGTAACAAGATAAATTTTTTGTACAGTATATGAAGTCATCATATACAGGGTTAATACGGAGGACAATCAAAAAATATTACAATACTTATTATATACGGTGTGTGATGGACAAATTGTTGCCAATTTATATTTTTAGTTTCTGATTTTGTCGACTGCAGATTATAGTTGGGTCAGTTGGGCACTGTCTGTGAGAAAAAGAGCACCATGATGCATTTTACTTCACCAGAAATTTGGAAACGACATGCTGTACCACTTGGCATTCACATTGGAAGCTTCAATACAAACACTTCATTGTTTGGGTATTAATCTGAGGACAGTGCAGAGGATTTGGAAAGAGTTGGTTGGTGATTATGAAAGTATGGCAACCTGGAAAAGTCACTGATCGTTCTGATAAGAACTCTCAAATTTGTTGGTGAGAGCTTTAGACAACACAGAGGCCTACATCAAGTACCTTGAGGAGATAGTCCTGTCCTGGGTCAAGAGAGTGGCTGCTGGAAGACCATATGTTTGGCAACAGGACTTTGCACCATGCCACATAAGCAGGAAAACCCAGTCATGGCTGTCAGACAATTTCTGCGACCATATCAACCTTTACATCTGACCAGCTAATTCCATGGACTGCAACTCCCTTGATTATTATGTGTAGGGTGCAGTTGAGCGAGAGGCCAACAAAACTCCTTGTAACACCAATGATAAACTGAAGGCAAGGATTATGGCATCATTCACCAACTTAAAGGATACCATCCAGAAGAGTTGCAGAAGATTCTGAAGTCATCTGGATGGTGTGGTGATTTTATTGAACAAATGTAGTTTAGTATTTGTGGTGATTTTATTGAATAAATGTAGTTTAGTATTTCAAGATATTTTGTGTAATTTGGGTAAACATATCTGTTAAAATAAGATATCAGTTTTATTTTCAGTTTTGCATAATTTAGATGACAATTTATCCATCGCACTCTGTATACAGAGATGAATTGCAAACCAAAAGATTTCAGAGTTAAGACCATGTAAAGATAAAACTTATTTAAAAAGGACGGAGTATGTGAGCAACAAGGAAGCTTTAAGAAAGAGGCAAAAAGGACATTCAGACTACAAAAGAGACTTAATATTTCTGGGACATATGAGGAAAGGAGGCTAGGAAAATTTGACACTCAAAAGACATATTGAAGATAAAAAAAAAAGTAGAGGGAAACATCAAGGAACCTACCTAATCTGCATGTGTAAATGGATGGTAAAACAGGTATTAGGATGGATAGTAAAAAGACAAACATTGCTAAGAGATACAAAGGGTAGGAAGTTGTGGAAAGTCATGATCATCCACACCCTGAAGGTGCCTAGAAGAAGACTAATACATAGTTTTCACTGTGCCCATCAAAATAGACCTCCTGGGTTTGTATTCAAAGCTCACACAAATGGCAGCATCATAAGTTTGCAATAGATTCCATTCGTGAACACATTTCAAATTCCCAAAATTTATAGATAGCACTTAGCTTATATTTCTAAATATTTAAAACTAATACAAATTATTTCACT